AAGAGTTCATTTGGTAAGAAATGAAGAAAATGAGCAAAGTAGAAGTCATTTAGGCCATATTTGGATGAATTTGGATGAAAATGGTTCTTAAAACTTAGTTAATTTGTTTTTTTTTTTTGTTATTTGAAGCCCTATACACCTTAAACTACATATTATTGACATGTGTGAGAAAGAAAGAGTTCAGTTGGTAAGAAATGTTGAAAATGGGCAAAGTAAAAGTCACTTAGGCCATTTTTGGATGTATTTCGATGAAAATGGTTCTTAAAACTTAGCTAATTGATTTTTTTTGTGATTTCAAGCCCTATATACATTAAACTACCTATTATTGACATGTTGTGAGAAAGAAAGAGTTCATTTGGTAAGAAATGTTTAAAATGGACAAAGTAAAAGTCATTTAGGCCATATTTGGATGAATTTGGATGAAAATGGTTCTTAAAACTTAGTTAATTGATTTTTTTTTTTGTGATTACAAGACCTATATACCTTAAAATACCTATTATTGACATATTGTGAGAAAGAAAGAGTTCATTTGGTAAGAAATGTTTAAAATGGACAAAGTAAAAGTCATTTAGGCCATATTTGGATGAATTTGGATGAATTTGGATGAAAATGGTTCTTAAAACTTAGTTAATTAGGTTTTTTTGTGATTTCAACCCCTATACACCTAAAACTACCTTCATTGACATGTTATTAGAAATAAAGAGTTCATTTTGTAAGAAATGAAGAAAAAGGGCAAAGTAGAAGTCATATAGGCCATATTTGGATGAATTTGGATGAAAATGGTTTTTAAAACATAGTTAATTTGTTTTTTTTCTTATTTCAAGCCCTATACACCTAAAAATACCCATTATTGACATTTTATGAGACATAAAGAGTTCATCTGATAAGAAATGAAGAAAATGGGTAAAGTAGAAGTCATTTAGGCCATATTTGGATATATTTGGATGAAAATGGTTCTTAAAACTTAGTTAATTGGTTTTTTTTTTGTGATTTCAACCCCTATTCACCTAAAACTACTTGTTATTGACATGTTATGAGAAAGAAAGAGTTTATTTGGTAAGAAATGATGAAAAAGGGAAAATTAGAAGTCTTTTAGGCCATACTTGGATGAATTTGGATGAAAATGGTTCTTAAAACATAGTTAATTGGTTTTTATTATGTGATTTCAACCCCTTTACACCTAAAACTACCTGTTATTGACATGTTATGAGAAAGAAAGTGTTCATTTGGTAAGAAATGAAGAAAATGGGCAAAGTAGAAGTCATTTAGGCCATATTTGGATGAAAATGTTTCTTAAAACTAAGTTAATTTGTTTTTTTTTTTTTTTTTTTTTTTATTTCAAGCCCTATACACCTTAAACTACCTATTATTGACATGTTGTGAGAAAGAAAGGGTTCACCTGGTAAGAAATGTTGAAAATGGGCAAAGTAAAATTCATTTAGGCCATATTTAGATGAATTTGGATGAATTTAGTTCTTAAAGCTTAGTTAATTGATTTTTTTTTTTTTGTGATTTCAAGACCTATACACCTTAAACTACCTATTATTGACATGTTTTCAGAAAGAAAGAGATTATTTGGTAAGAAATATTGAAAATGGGTAGAGTAAAAGTCATTTAGGCCATATTTGGATGAATATGGTTCTTAAAACTTAGTTAATTGATTTTTTTTTTTATGATTTCAAGCCCTATAACCTTAAACTACCTATTTTTGACATATTGTGAGAAAGAAAAAGTTCATTTGGTAAGAAATGTTGAATATAGGCAAAGTAAAAGTCATTTAGGCCATATTTGGATTAAAATGGTTTTTAAAACTTAGTTAATTGGTTTTTTTTTTGTGATTTCAACCCCTATACATCTAAAACTACATGTTGTTGACATGTTATGAAAAAGAAAGAGTTCATTTGGTAAGAAATGAAGAAAAAGGGCAAAGTAGAAGTCATTTAGGCCATATTTGGATGAATTTGGATGATAATGGTTATTAAAACTTAGTTAATTGGTTTTTTTTTGTGATTTCAACCCTTATACACCTAAAACTACTTGTTATTGACATGTTATGAGAAAGAAAGAGTTTATTTGTTAAGATTTGAAGAAAATGGGCAAAGTAGAAGTCATTTAGGCCATATTTGGATGAATTTGAATGAAAATGGTTCTTACAACTTAGTTGATTTGTTTGTTTTGTGATTTCAAGACTTATACACCTTAAACTACCTATTATTGACATGTTGTGAGAAAGAAAGAGTTCATTTAGTAAGAAATGTTGAATATGGGCAAAGTAAAAGTCATTTAGGCCATATTAAGATGAATTTGGATGAAAAAGGTTCTTAAAACTTATTTAATTGGTTTTTTTGTGATTTGAATCCCTATACACCTAAAACTACCTATTATTGACATGGTATGAGAAAGAAAGAGTTCATTTGGTAAGAAATGAAGAAAATGGGCAAAGTAGAAGTCATTTAGGACATATTTGGATGCATTTGGATGAAAATGGTCTTAAAACTTAGGTTATTGGTCATTTTGTTTTTTGTGATTTTATGCCCTATACACCTAAAACTACCTATTATTGACATGTTATGAGAAAGAAAGAGGTCATTTGATAAGAAATGAAGAAAATGGGCAAAGTAGAAGTTAATTAGGCCTTACTTTGTTCTATTTTGTTGAAAATGCTTCCTTAAACTTAGTAAGTTGCTCCTTTTCATATGTATATCTTGTAGGAGGCCTACCAGAAGAAGGTTGAAGAAGCAAGCACTCAAGGGATTCGGAAGAGTCCGAATGAGTTGTACTGGGAGACTGTTGGTGATCGCAACAAGAAGGGTCGTGTGAAGGGACTTGGCCAAAGTGTAGAGCTGTACTATGGCAACCGGATGGTTCGAGTTTCCACGTCTTCACAGTAGTACACGCCTTCCGTTGTTTCTCAGATGCAGGATCAGATGGAGCATAGGGTGCATGCTCTTCGCAGTGAAATCTAGAGTGAATTGGAAGTCGAGATGGAAGCTCGATTTCAAGCCCAAATGGCCGCAATAGAGAGGAGAAACCAGGAGAAGTGGGATGAGTTTATGCGTCGTTTCCCCAGCGACACATGTTCCACCATTCAACTTCAGAGTCGAGACCCCAGGGACGACCCTGGTAGTGGCGGAGCAGGGCAAGGTACCCCGGCTATAGCTTAGCTTTTGTTTATGTAGTATGTACAAGTACTTAATTTGGATTATGTTTTATGCCTGCATACAATCTATATATTATTATATATGTATATAAATATTTTCATATTTAAATCATTAATTTAATTTTATCTTGAATTAGGTGCAGGAGGTATATCGAATGGTGGTAATTCCAAAAAAAATCGATTAATTTGTTAAATTAGCAGGTGAAATTCCTACGGAATTTCTGGTGGTATTATCCGTCGGAAGCAGGTTTGTTGCGACGGAATTTTAGATGGACAATTTCGTCGGAAATCATATATTTTTCGAGGGAAAATAAATCCGTCGGAACCTTGCGATGGAAAAATGCATCGTAAGATTCCGACAGAAATTTAATCCCTCGAAAAATACAGACCTTACGACAGAATATTTCCGTCGGAAAAGTATTTAATTACGATGGATTATTCCGTCGGAAGAGGTATCTACCGACGGAATTAATTTCGTCGGAATATTGCGACGGATTCTCAATATAAGTCAATCCATGCGCCGACAGATCTAATTCCGTTGGAAATTCCTTCTAAATACGCTTTTCCGGCGGAAAATCCCTCAAAAAAGTCGAATTTCCTACAAAATGTTTCGCGACAGACCATTCCGACGGAAAGATGATTTCCGATGGAATTTCAAATGATTTTAACAGATTTTATTCGTCGAAAACCGGCTGTTTTCTAGTAGTGTAGGTTCCTGGCTTCTAGATCTTTCACCTTTTTGCATAGACTGCCAACTCTTTCTGCTCGGGGGTCAGATTGAGCACTGGCGGTTTAGTGTTCGGGGGTCAGATTGAGCGCTGGCGGTTTAGTTACGGGTTGGCTGGTAAATGCTGGTTGCCGAGTCGAGCTCGATCCTTTACCAAACGAGTTCAACATGGCAGTGACAGCAACCAATAAATTGATCCTTACTGCATTAACAAAGACTTTGTAGCATGTGTGGTATGCTCACCATTGGGGTTTTTCTCTAGGTTGCATTTGGGTTAGGGGTTCATTGTTTTGGTTGGTCGGCGGCATTCTGAATTGGAATGTTTGAGACGATCCTACCGATTTTTTAACTCCGATGGTGTTTTTGGTGACACTCGAGGAAGCTCCGGTAAGAATCAGGTTCTGGGTTGTGTTTAAGTTGCGCTTTCCAGTAGGTTTGTTAGCATCAGGTTTAATTTGTGGTGTTTGTATATTTTTTGTTGCAGGTGTTTGTTTTTCCTGATCGGACTTTTGCCCCCTCATGGCGGTTTTCCCGTCTAGCTAGGTTTAACGTAGTGGTGGAGCTAAGGTACTAGAATTATCGCCCCTCTCTCTAGTGCCAATTGCTCCGTTAAGTGTTCCGACCGGGTATAGCTCCGGAGCTAGTATGGGGACTCTGGTTTGGGCCCTAGCTGCGATTACCTCCACAATGAACGGAGGTTACTGCCCTCGGGGATGGCTTCGAGAAACCCCCCCTCCCAAAGCTTAAGTTAGTATTTTGGGTAAGATGAAAATATGTGTAATAGAAAGAAGGTAATTATCTATGATTGTCTAACTTCTTTTCTGTTGTACTTGGTTTGCAATATATAGTTGTACGATTTTTCAGCTCTAAGTTGGAGCCTGTTGAGGTCAGCTGAGCCCTTAAGATGTTGTCCATGGCTTAAGTTTGGGCTGAGGTGAGAGCGCACTGCTTAGGCAGCGCTAGGAGCGTGGGGCAGCTTAGCAGGAGCTACCCTATATACTTGTATTGAAAATTTAGATCTCTTTAGGGATGATAGTTAGTGCCAGATGACTATTCTCAATTTATGAAATCACCCTTCTATATTCCATTACCCAAAAAATAAAAAGAAAAATATAAAATAAAAAAACACATACATTGTCGTACAATTTAATATATCGTGACTGATAAACCGTTAAATCTATTACATTATAGCCTATATAGTGTAACTCCACGCATGGAAACATGGGGAGAGAAACCTAAAACATAATGGTGTTTATCGATTAGCAAATAAAAAGGGTAAATAAAATAGTTTCCGCTACATATATGGTGTAAATAAACTACGTACCACACTAAACACAACTATGTAAAATATTTACATTTAGCTTTATATATTATATCTTTAGAGCAAGAGTTGCGGTGATGCAGCCCAATTTCCAATTAACTCCATTGGTAGATTGTTTTGAATCATATCACCACCTTCTATTCCCATATTTTGTCCACCACCTACTATCTCGTATGGCATTACACATTGTTGATGAGTGCTACTCTCTGCCCCATTATTCCCTGTTTTAATTTAAAAAAAGAAGGGGAAATAAAATCCATAAGAAATGAGAATAATATTAATATAAAAAGTCTAATGTTAAACTATCAAAAACTTACCTTAGGAATAATTTGAATAATGATTTAGTGAAGTTGTTTAATGTTTTTTGTTGGTTTTAATCGTGTGAATGTAGGGCTGTTATTGAATAGGAATATATAAAGTAGTAATTATTGAGATAAAATTAATAAGAAATACAACATTGTACATATGACAATGAGATAAAAATCTCAAAAACATACAAGTTTACAAATGCAGACAGTGTTTGATAAGTGTGATTTTTCTTATAGACCTACTTTTCATTAACTTTCTATTAATATACTCATTCTTTTGTTTATTTATTTATTAATTTTTTTTTATATATATATAATGAGTTAACTTTACGCTAAGTTATTCATTTTTCTATATTAAGATTTTACGATAAAGTGAAGATTTATATACGAGTTTACGCGTTATGTGCTTATATTAGCATAATTCTTATAAAATTGTGGTAGAGCTTAGATAAAAAATTGCTCACCTTGAAAATGCTGCAAAGACTCATTGACTGGTCTGTCCACTTCATGCAAGGAAGCCCAATTTTTATACGCGTTCTTCACCAACTCATCTATTGTCTCATTCTGAAAATGTCAAAAATGTATTAATTGATTGAAATTAGAACAACAAATATTAATCTTATAATATTGTTCTTAAATTCTTAGTACTTAGTACTTGTAGTATTTGTACTATTCAGTATTCACAAGCAGCTTAAATTTTTGGTTTGCTTATTAATTTTCAAATAAAATATTGATGCAATAAGAAATTTGCAATTTTTTTTAAATATGACCAAAAACAAATTAAAATAATTTGAAAAAGGTAATCATAAAATAAAACTAAAATGACAATTATTCATATGTAAAATTACACAAAAATATTAATGCAATAAGAAATTTGCATTATCTTTAAATATTATCGAAAAGAAATAAAAAAAAAAAAAAAAACTTTGAAAAAGTTAATTATAGAATAAAACTAGAATGACAAATATTCATCATACCTTAACATAAGATCTGAAATCTGAAGTGGAGTATAATTCCCCATCAATGTTGTGTATGCTAAAAATATTACAAGTAGCATCCAAAGTGATGGTAAAATTTGATCCTTGATAAATGTAAAGTTTGTTGCCAATGTTGCACGTTTTTGCATGCTTCAATATTGAGTCCCACATTCTATCTGAAATTCCTGCTTTCTCACCTAGTATCTGTACCATATCACATAATTAAATTCATCATTAGCCTTTGTTTTAGGAAAATTTTAGTCACGTTCAATTTGTCATTCTTATGCGCAGTTAGTTCGTTGTCACATTATCTAATTGTTTTGTTATCATAATTATTAATTTTGTACAAATATAATATTTTACGTAGGAAGTATAGAGGTGAATAGGATTATTACCTTCTTGAGCTTGATTGAGTCAATAGCAGATAATTTTAAGAAATCTTGCACAGTTTTAATGCCGGCTAGTTCAAGTCTTTTGTGGAATTTCCCATCTTTACCAATCTTCTCTAGACGCCATACTTCATCTTCAAGCATTGGTGGATAATGCTTCCTGTATACTGCAGTTAATAATTTTCACAAATAATTATTTAAAAAAATTATATCAATTATATTTTCCTTTGATAAAAGTCATAAAATTATAGTGCAAGCAATATTAATATAATCTCTAAAAATTTATGTAGGAGCATAATGTGATTAAATTAAAACTGTTTTAATAATTTCTTTTATGAAATTATTTTTATTGTTCAATTTACTCCTTATTTATATACTTATATAGGTTTCATGTGTTAATACAAGCATAAGTCTACATAAATTCAAGCAAAGCTGATAATCGTACACTAAGATTATTTTGTGAGTGAGTAACATCCTATTCATAGCGGGGTCTATTCACTAAAGTGATAAGACTTTGTTTATAAAAGTAGAATGGCAAGAACCACACAAAATAATACGTACATCTAAGAAGTGTTCACTAAATATATATTTTATTAAGTCAACGACGACTACTAAGTATAAGTATTAGTCTTTCGAAAGATGCCAAACATAAAGAGTATCATTCTCATCAAAAGCACTGGTCCTTTTCACCAAACCTTGAGCGATAGATGTGAATTATTCATATGTTCATACATATTATGCAATAATTTTGCTCCAACTAATCTTGTTATTAATTATTATCTACTTAGCTTTTTTATAACTTTATCTTAAATAATCACTTTATACCTTTCTAAATAGTGTGGCCAATAATAAATTAACTTCAACCTTTTAAACTATACCAAATTGGGTATAAAATAGATAAATGGTCAATTATACATAAGAAAAAGGAAATTTTGCCAACAACTACCGTTTAAATGATCACTTTTAAGAACAACCACCATTTAAAATTTTCTTTTAAAAAAACTACCACAAAGTCACCAAAAACTTTGAATAGCACTACCACTTAATTTTCCGGCAAAAGTTTCTAATTGGGAGAACCTAGTTTATAAAATTTCAATCAATTGTGGTATAGAAAACAAGAGATTTCGATAATCAAACACAATTATAGGCTAATTATCTTTAATTTCGCATATAATTAATTAAATTTCTCAATTATATCTTAAAATTAGGGTTTATGGTCAAAGAAATTGAATTAAGGGCTTTACGAAATTGGGGGATTTGGGGTAATTAAAGTGTATTATCTAATTTACAGTTAATGTAGAGCAATATTGTCATTTAATTTGGGTTTTTTAGAGGGAAATTTTATAAATATGCCCCCAAAATGGAGATCCTTGTCGAAAACAATAAATATGGTAGTGCTACTCAACTACTCCCTTCGTGTTTTAATAAGTGTTACACTTTGATTTTTTTCACTATTCACATAATGGTTTTGATTTGATTAATTTACGAATATATAAAAATACAAATGTTATTGTATAATACATTGTTGGATTCGTTATAATGTATACTTTCAAAATATCAATTTTCCTATGATTTAATTAACATATGATTAGATAATTAATGGTCAAAGTCATGTCTTGACATGCGTGTTTGGTCAAATTGTAACACTTATTAAACCACAGAGGGAGTATTAATAATATTCTCTATAAATAATGTATTAATGATACATCATGTTATAAACTTAAAGTTTCACATGGACAAAAATGAAAGAATGATACATCAAGAACTATATGAAACAAAGTTATAGGTAATACCAAATAATTAATTAATATAAATAACCATTTACCCAAAAAAAAAAAATGTAAACAACAAAATATATATTAAAATAAAAACACAATAATAAGAAGAAACATTAAAACAAAGAAAGAACAAAAAAGTGAACTAACCTTCACCACGTTGGTCTTTGACAATAAAAGCCTCAGTTAAAGCTTCAAGAATTCTACCATCACTTGAGGTTCCAGGAACCGCTCTTGCACCAAGTTTGAATTTCCTACTTCGAATCCAGCTAGAGTTGTCCGTAAACTCGATTTCGCCTAGCGTTACACAACACCCATGTTTTATAGTGTAATTCACTTCTTTGGCAATGAGTGGACGTCGTCCTGATCTTTCCTTAACGATTTTTCCATTAAACTCATCGACGGTCCATAAATCACGATCCGTGGACGGGAAATCTCCGTCGATGACTACAATTTCAACCTTGATAGGATGTTGTGGAACCTTTCGTATGATTTGGTCACCTATTTTTTCAACTAGCATGACATTGAGTAAATCTCCATTAATGTCTGTTATTTTGTTGCATGTAAATATTGTTGGCAAATTTTTATTTACAAACATTAATTTCATGCAAGCTGGTTCTGGTGCCTGTATTCTAAACGATGGTACCCTAGTCATGGTACGCATGGTTCTTTGAATGCCACGTTCAACTTCTTCATTAACCTAATTAAAGTAATTTAATCAGTCAAAAATTAGCATAAGTAGTAGACAGATTCCTTTTTGTTTTAAGTATATAATAAAAAAGAAGTAAGTTTGAACTAATTAAGATTTAGATAATAGCTTCACAAAGTAAGATCTTATTGTTACTCATTAACACAAATAATACGTATAATTAATGTGACTATTTAAAAGCCAAACTATTTATGTGCAACGGAAAAAAAAAACTACTATAATAAAGATATAAATTTTTGAATCTTAGTCGCCTAGGAGGCGATATAAGTATAGAATGATTACTTAATAGAGAAAATTGAACAAATATGTTATAGGCAGTATTAAACAAAAAGCATAACTTACGTTGAAAAATCAAGTGCATTTGGTTTTTGCAACTGAAGCCGGCAAGCAGTAAAACTAAGTTTTGACTATAAAATACTAAAAGTTTTGACTATAAAATACTAAAAAACATAAAAGATAATAAATTCACTTTTTAAACTTTAGTATTTTTTTTGTTAAAAAAAACTCGAGTACTTTTTTGTAATTTTAAACTCGAGACTTGTAGACCACAAAAACCCCGAAATAAAAGATATTTTTGCTCCTGCAATAATAATTGTAATATAGAGAGTACTTGGTATAATCGAAAGTTGAGCGGACCAGGTTAAAAGCCATACCACTCGTCTAAGCAATGGTTCAAATGATTTGACGAATGATTGCAAAGACCTGGCCATCATTACTTCTCCTATTACACTGCAAAATCAACAACATACTAATAGTTTAAATACTTTATATCAAATTAATTAAAATTTTCAAAAAATTAATGATAACGTTTTCCAAATTAATCAAAATTAATTTTAATAAAAATAGTTAAGTTAAAAAAATTAGTTGATTAGGTTAGAAGATAAACTAATTTTTAGAAAATAAACAACAAAACAAATAAATTTAAAATTAAATTAAATTTGAAAAATACTTTTTTTACAGAAAATTTGAAAATTACTTTGTTTTTAAAAATAAAATCATAACAAATAAACAAGCTTATAAAAATAGTTAAGTTAAAAAAATAAATTAGATGATTAGGTTAGTAAGTAAACTAATTTTTAGAAAATAAACAAAAAAAAAATGAAATTAAACTTTATATTTTTTATTTTTTCTTTTTAACGAGAAATTTGAAAAATACTTTGTACAAGTTAATTGTAACAATTTTTTTTTAAAAAAATAAATAAAATTACGTAGTATAACAAATAAGACAAGCTTAGAAAATTAAATCTCATTAAATATCTTGAAAAAAGAAAGGGAAAAAAATTAGACAATAAAATCACGTACGATGCAAAAGAAGGCATGGATTTCATCCTTTTTTCTTTTGGTTGATCATCGTTTTCGATATCAGTACCAATCCGTTTGGCAGCCATTTGAACAGGAATTGAAAGGAAAACTGAATATCAACTGAAATTAAAATTATTGCAAACAAAGATTTGGAAAGAGAAGATATGTGAATCTAAGTATAGCTTGTTGATAAATTTTGTAGTTTAAATGTTCTTTGAAATGGTGTAGTGTTTATATAGAATTAAAGCAAATGATAAGTGAGATAGAAAGTCAGTCAACTGATATATAAGTAGAAGTCTTTTAATTTGTAATAGAAAATGAAGTTTCGTGGTTGGTGTTGGGAAGTAACCGAGTAGAATCGGTATTTGATAACTTAAACAATAGTGACGCAAAGAAAAAATAAAGAAGCAATTCATAACGTGTTGTTTAATGGTTTAGTCTTTGTAGTAGTAAATGAACCTTTCTACCAAATGATATTGGTTTCATTATCACCAACTAAAAGGTGTAGAATTAATCTTCACCCCTCGTACAACAACAACAAAGCCTTAGCCTCTAAATGACTTTATAAGGCTATTACCATAAAGGGTAGTAATTTTGTGAAAATCACTTGATAAGGTTATTCAACCAAAAAGCTAGGTTTTAGTTCGAATCTTAACTTATGAGAGAGCTTGAGAAGTTGAGGTAGGGTCCGTAGGGATTTCCTTAATTTCTTCTCTACTCTTAAGTATCAATATAGTTAGTCCACAATTACTAAAACCAAAAAATATAAGATAAAATAGAAAAAAAAAAAAAAATCGTAAAATTAAGATTTGATAAGAGTCCATTTTCAATAGCACGTCATGTAAGAAAATAATGAAATAATAATATTGGGCCAATCTAATAAAAGTTCAACAATCCGCGGTTTAGTCACGATAAAATTATTTATGTACTATACTTTGATGTATGTATTTTGACATGGTCGTTATCATTTTATTCTAAGCTACTGTGTATTTTAATGCAATGAATTGATTATGGACCCTTGATTTTTTATTTATACTTAACTGTTTCAATAAGAGTGCGTTAGTTTAAATTGACATATTACCACATAGTTTTAACCATAGATATATTTAAATGTATGTCGGTAAACACTATAAATTTTGAAAACTTAATGGTACTAGAAACAGAGTCATCCTCGGTGTGTAATGATATTTAAGGTAAGCAAGATGTCCAATTTCAAGTGCACTTGAAATTTGCCTTGCAAGGGTATCCAAAAGGTACGCTTGCAAGATAAAACGAGTAGGCTGCCCATGGGTTTACCCAGAATGCCCTTCCGACGCTCAAGTCAATGAAATATGTATTACTTTCTAGTAAGAGAAAGTACAGAAAGAGAGTGATTCTAAAAAGTTACCCATCATTAGTCATTGAATGCTATTTATAGATGTATTTTCATGTGGCAAAGTTGTACTTTCTTAGATAAATTAGGAGTAAATTTATACTTTAGAGTAATTAATGGATGATTAATTAAGGATGATGAGTTGATTTATGAAAGAATATTATGTCATTTGAGCTATACTGAGCTTAATATATACCTTGTATTAATACAATAATATCTTATATAATGATATTAAAAAAAATAAAATAAAATATTGTCAAAGTTAGTATTTACATTGTGCACATGAAAGTCATTGTTTGGGTCCAATTTACTTCAATTGGGCCGCTCCATAAATGATTTAATCACAAAGCCCAAGGATAAGGTTCAATTCTCCAAGCCATGTCCAGTCAGCTAAGGCCCGGTCAATGTGGCAAGCCCACTTGATTCACGGCCCACTCATCTATTTGAGAAAAGGTGTAAAAGTCTTCAATCCTCTCTCTCTAAAGATACGCACATTAAGCCTCAAGCAATTAATATACTTGCATAGCTTTTTCTCTCTAAACACTGTACTGACTTCGCCATTGAAGGGGTCTTTCCTCGGCACACCCTCGAGTCCAGTTCACGTGTGTTTTCTGTACAGGAAACCCTCGGCCCAATCATCACTTGGACCGAGATCAGTTTTCAGCCCACAGAAAAGGACCTTGTCGAAAGTCCCATTGTTTTTACCCGAAACAATATAATTTGGCGCCGTTTATGGGGAAAGACATTCAAAAGTAAATCAAAAATCAACCAATCTTAGCAAAAATGACTAAGAGTGGTAAGAGTGCCAAGAGTACTAAAAAGAACGATCCTTCCTCTTCGAGGAAAGGTCCTATTCCGATGAGGAGGAATCCACTTACTCCACCAACATCAGAACCTTCTTCTTCTTCTTCGAAGCTCCCTCTTCCTCGGAAAGGGCAGCGCTGGAGAGGTCACCATCCCATCATACTCACCATCCCACTAGCTCATATCGGTCGATTTAATCCAATGTTAAAAGTTCCCCTGGAAGTTTTCATTCTCGGTCTCAACCGAGAACAACTCCTCAAACTGGGCCCTCTACGGAGGAAGTGGTACGAGCCGTCGCGGTCTTCATGGACCTCATGAAGGCCCAAGTAGGCAACTTTCCACCATCCCGTGACCACTCGCCTCTTTCGCCGAGAAACTTGAGAAGGAGGACCAGCCAAGAGAAAAGTGGACGAGCTCCATCCTTCAAGGAACTCAGGGATAAATGGGAGGAGGACACTTAGAGGACTGAACAAGAGAGGAAAAAGAACCCTCAGTTCTTCAAAAATTCCGAAACCCAAAATTCCCGAAGCTACAAAAGCAACAACACCACCTCCGCGTGGCAAGAGCCTACTCGCCGAAATGTTCACGAACGTCTCAGTTCAAGGGAGGTGAGCGTTCACAGTCAACTCACCTACCTTGAGGGAACTGAGCCTTATCCTGAATCATACCAGCCAAGGACGAAAACTACTTCAACCTCTCTGAGAGGGAGGAGCGAGGTCCCGTCGGCTAGACATAGGGGAAAGGCCATCAAGATTCCCACCAGCTCGCCCTTCCAAAGCTGGATTTTGGAAGCGCATGTGCCGACGGTGAAATTTCCGGCACACATAACTTATGACGGTACTTCGGATCCAAAGGTCCACATTTCCTCTTACGAGGGGCACATGTATATGAACGCCAGGTCCAAAGCGACCTGGTGCAAATATTTTGCGACCACTCTTAAAGGTGTTGCACAAGCGTGGATCACCAAGGGAATACAAGATGGCTCGATAACCGGTTGGAAAGACCTTTCCAACAAGTTCAAGAGCAAGTTTTCTACAACGAACCGCCGAGACAACACAACCGTAGAAACCGTCGAGACAACACAACTGCAGAACTGATGAGTCTGCAGCAAGGGGAGGACGAGAGCCTCCGAGACTATCTAACTCGCTTCAGCAACAAGTCGTCCAGAATTACAAGTCTTGACCAAGGGCTAGCTGTTTTCGCACTGTGAAACGGGATGCAAGCTGGAAAGTTCCTTGACTTCATGGTCATGCATCCCCCGCAGACCTTGGAGGAAGCTCTAGATGCTTCGGATAAATACATCCGAGCCGACGAATGGAACAAAACCAAATCCCAATCTCAATCCAGGGCTGGAAGACAAAAGGACAGCAGTACGAAAGCTAGAGCTAGAGGAAAGGAAGGAGAAAGCATCAAAACCATCCTCGGCTTCTGAGCTGAAGAAAGGAAAAACCCCATACGTGGGGAAACACGAATCATACACTCCTCTCGCCCTTCCACGTGCTAAGATCTACATCATAACGAAGGACGAGCAGAACTATAAGAAGCCGAGGCCACTGCCATCGTGGCATTAGTAGAAAAACAAGGACCGATGGTGTGAATTCCATGAATCTCCTGGACATCACACCGAGGATTGTATCCAGCTGAGGGATCAGATCGAGAATATGGTCCGAAAAGGTTACTTGAAAAATATCTCGCGGATCGCCACGAAGAGAAAAAAGCCGAGAAAGATTCTCGGCAAGAACTGGATTTACCCCAGAAAAAAGGCAAGCTGCAGGACAAAGACAATCCCGACATCCTTGTCATTTCCGGAGGAACAAGCTCTCGGAAAGCGCGAAAACGCCACTTAAGGGGCTTGACCCATCAAGTGAACCATGTTGATATCCGAGCACCCCAGTCTCTAGTGCCGAACTTTACGTTCACAGCTGAAGACTGCCGGAGGGTGGCATACCGCCATGATGACCCGCTAGTAATCGTCACAGGGATCGCAAACCACAATGTCTGGCGAACTCTCGTTAACGGCGAAAGTGGTGCGAATATCCTTTTCCGAGAGGCTTATCACCAGCTGAAGTTGAAGACCAAGCACCTGACTCCGGTACCCTACCCGGTATCTGGATTCAATGGGTCTGCAACATATCCGGACTGGAAAATTACCCTTCTTGTCACCATCGGCAGAGACCGAGCAGCCCGGAACATCATGGCCGATTTTTTGGTCGTGGACGTTACGTCTATATACAACATGATTATGGGAGACCCATAATTCACAAGATCCAAGGAGTAGTCTCAACGTACCATCAAATGATGATATACGTTTCAGACGAGGGACACTCCAAAAGGATTTAAGGCAGCCAAAAGGAGGCCTGAAGATGCAACTACCTCAAGCCACCTAAAAGTCGCTGCGACGACAAGGATGAGGAAGAAGAAAGAGAAAATGACTTATGCACAACGAAGCCTAAAGGCTTAAGCGCTTCGGCCCAAGGCGCCCTAGCACGAGAAAAATCTTTGGGGGAAAAAAAAGCTGGTTCCTCATCTGAGCCGAAAGACTCAAAGCACCAGCTGAAGTCTAGGAAGCCTGCTGATATTGACAGCAAGCCAGATTGTGAAGAGTCCGGTGCCAAAGCAATGGAGCTGGACCAGCAGACTGAGTTAATAGAGTTGACCGAGGGAGATCCTGAAAAATGTGTCAGCATCGGTCTCGGACTCCATCCGGCCGTCCGTGTTGAGCTTATATATCCAACTCCTTCGGGACAACAAGGATGTGTTCGCTTTCTCGGCAACGGACATGCCTGGGATTGATCCGAATCTCATCTCTCACAAGCTTAATGTCGACCCCACCTGTCAATCAGTAAAGCAAAAGAAGAGGAATTACTCCGCAAATAAGAACCGAGACATCGCAACCGAAGTAAAAAAACTCCTGGACGCAGGTTTCATTGAACCCTGTTAGTATCCGGAATGGCTGGCCAATGTGGTGATGGTCCAAAAGGCAAATGGCACCTGGAGAATGTGCGTTGACTTCACGGACCTAAATAGGGTCTGTCTGAAGGACTTTTATCCCTTGCCGAGGATCGATCAACTAGTCGACTCGACAATTGGGCATGCCCTGCTTAGTTTCATGGACGCATTCTCGGAGTATCATCAGATCTTCATGCACCTCGACGATCGAGCAAAAACGGCCTTCGT